GAAAAAGGAAAAGGGAAATTATTCAGATAGATTAGTAACAGTTCATTGCTTGGGTCACTGGTTAGAACTGACTCTCTGTTCCTGTTTGGTCCTGAGGGAGGTTATATGGGTTCCGAGGCTTTTCCCACCTATTCTTAAGAGGCAGCAGACGTGGACCACTCCGTTTATGGGAGCTGTCCTGATGCCTCCCAGTCATTAGATCCCTGTGAGCGCTAACCAGGGGTTTAATTGCTGCTCATTTAGCTCTTTTGCTCTTGACTGTTCTGTTAAAATCACCATTTAGAACATTTTGATTTAGTAAGGTGGAGGGTAGTGGACAGCAGTTTTCCATAGGTTGTAGGCAATAAACTAGTATTTAAACCTGTGGCCCCAAGTTAAATTCAAGCTGAGACTATTATATTGTAGTGTTTGGGCAATTAGTAAGGGCTGTGTTTGAATTCCAGATACCCTTCAGTGCATCGCAGAGATGCTGCAGATCACCAAGCAAGCCATGGGGCTGGATGTTCCCATAGTTGAGAAGAAGCTTGAGAGGTCAGTATCAAGAGAAGACATCATTTAGAGCCAGATGCAGCAGTGCACACCTGAAATCCAGCATCTGCAAGGTGGACGAGTTCAAGGCCAGACAGGGTATAGAGATTTAAAACAGGAACAAAACCCCAAAGTAGAAAACAGCCAGCCAAACAGCAGCAAAATACCTCACACTGCATAAATGCACTAATATATCACAATTCCTAAGAAATACAACTTAAAACACTATGGAGTGCTGGCATTATAGGCCTATGCCACCAGACCCATTTATATTATGCTGAAGACTGAGCACATGGTTTCATGCATGCCAGGGAAGTCTCCTACCAACTGAGCCAAAGGGCCCTTTTTTTGGTGAGACAGGCTTCAATTCTTGATGTTGCCTCAGCCCTAGAATATGCAGGGATTGGAGTGCACACCACGCCTAGCTGTAATAAGGTTAGCCCTCTGTTGACCGCACATTCTCACTCACTCTGGAACCCTGAAGAAACTACCCATGGTCCTTCTGTTTTGTTACCTGTTAAAATGATATAACCAATGTCAGAAAGGTTTCAGATTGAATGGTAATGAACTTAGAAACACCTAGCACATAGCTTTAAAATCCAACTGGTAAAAAAGTTTGGTTGCTGCCTTTTATCTTTTCATGCTTAGTTGATTTCCTCAGAAGAGGGACCAGGAGAATGCACGGGGTCTGCTTCCCCGTTTGCCACTCTTAACCCTACAGCACCTTAGAGACCTTATTCTCAGTTTAAGGAATTCTTAACTGACCCAGGTTTTTATTTTCTCAAGTGACATGGTACTTCTATTTCGATATCCAGGTGTGTTTAATGCAAACACTAGCCTTTTCCTGAGTACTTAGCTAAGCAATGTGTGTAAAACTGCCACGAAACATGGCTCACAGGGCCTACGACAAAGTCCTGTCTGCTCGGACAAGTGATGCTCTCTGAGCTCTAAGGTAGCCAGAGGATACATCCCAGTGTCCTGAGTGTACAGAGGAAATACGGCGCTTTAAACAGACATTCCTACCAACAGGTTATCTCACAGTTACAGTGAGGCTCTCTGTTCCTGCTCCACTAGGGCAGGGAGCTGTTCCTGTCCATTCTTACTGGACCTACTCTTCCCGCAGTGCTCTGGTGGTAGGTGATCCTGCATGAGCTGAGTACTGATGTGCACACAGGGACATCTGACGACAAAGGAGAGAACACAGATTAAGTATATTAGATATCCCAGATCCGTCCCGAGGCTTGGGATTCCTGCAGGTTCCCACTGCGGCCAGCAAGTGCTCTGCACTTAGACCTGCATGTGTGTTGCAGCCACACTAGAATTTCATGCATGCATTAGACTTTGACTTCTCAGAATGGCAGCCTCATGCCACACGAGGCCCTGGCCTTTGAAATGTGGCGGGTCCCGGTTCAGTTATGCTGTAATCCCACTACTGCATACTAACCATTTTAAAGACCTCATGCAAAAGGAACAAGATATAAGTCTTTATTAAGTCTGCGTTGAATTGTAGTATTCGGTGTGTAAGTAAACCTTTAATTCTACCTGCTCTAATGCAGCTGCTACAAAGTTTTTAGTTATATTCCTGTCTTTCTATCGGCTGGTGTGTTTAGTGTCAAGAGAGTTATTTGGATTTATCAGTTAGCAGTGCCCTGCTTCCAAGAAATCTGGGCTACTTACAAATGAGAAATTAACTTCTTTTTCTCTTCTAACTTACAGGAAAAGCAGTAAGCCTCATGAAGACATCATTGGTATCAGATCTCAAAACCAAGGCTCTCTGGCCCAGGGGAAAAGCTTTTTAATGAGCAAATTTTCATCTCTAAATCAAAAAGTGAAGCAGACCAAATCCAATGTGAATATTGGCAACCTACGGAAATTAGGAAACTTTACAAAGCCTGAAATGAAAGTGAACTTTCTAAAGCCAAACCTAAAAGTCAATCTTTGGAAGTCAGACAGCAGTCTTGAGACCATGGAAAACTCGGGAGCGATGGATAATAATAAGACCCAAGGGGAGTCTGATGGGGACATGTCTTCAGATAATGATTCTTACCACTCTGATGAATTCCTTACCAATTCTAAGTCTGAGGAAGACAGACAGCTAGCAGATTCTTTAGAGAGTGTAGGGCCAATAGATTATGTTCTCCCAAGCTGTGGTATTATTGCTTCAGCTCCTCGATTAGGCAGCCGATCCCAGTCTGCCAGCAGCACTGACGTCAGCATTCCTGTCCCCTCAGAAGCTACTGTTGGTCACGGAAGTGGACCTGGAAAAGGCCAGGAGTCTCTCTTGAAGAAAACCCCTTCTGCTGACAACATACGTGTACTGACTGGCTTTGCCAAGCCTGTGGACGTCTACTGCCATAGATTTGTACAGGATGCACAGGACAAAATGACTGAGCTGCCAGAAACCAGGCCTGTGTCTCAGAAAAGTGAGGAAGGAAATCAAAAGACTAACCCTGTTTCTAATGAAGAAAACCAGTTGGAGCCTGTTGGACTGATGCCTTCTCGACCGTCCCAGTTAAATGTCTCTTGTTCTTTGGCAGGCCCACAGTTTTTGTCAGTTGAACCAGCACATCCAGGGGTCTCTCAGCAGAGCCCCAGTTCTGGGTCCAGCCTGCTGGAACTGGAGGCAGGGCTTTGCGTGACCCCTTCTCCAGAGAGCGGCAGCAGAGCAGTCTCTCCCTTTGCAAAGATCCGCAGCTCCATGGTCCAGGTTGCTAGTATTACCCAAGCTGGGCTAACACATGGGATAAATTTGGCAGTGGCCAAAGTTCAAAAGAGTCCAGCAGAACCTGAAGTGGTCAATGAAATTCAGCAAAATGAACTTAAAAATATGTTTACACAATGCCAGACACGAATAATTCAGATTTAGATTTTAGTCACAATCTTATGGTTTTTATTTAAAAATTCAAAATGAAGTTTTCACCTACTAGACTTTTTTTTTTTTTTTAAAGAAACAGTTTCTCTGTGTATCCCTGACCTAGAACTTGCTCTGTAGATCAGGCTGGCCTTGAATTCAGTCCATCTGCCTTCTGAGTACTGGAATTAAAGACTTGCCCCACTACCACCCAGCCCTTTCAGGCTATTTTAACCTGTACAGTGTTTATGGATTACAAATTCTAATTACATTGTTGATTGGCACTTGTTTTACAAGGAGTCTGAACCTGAGCAAATTCCCAGATGTCCAGACTACAAGTGACCATCTTAAGACGGTAGGCCAGCCTAGCAAGTAAATACACAACAGAGTGGTTTGTTGATCTCACTTGGGAAGGTTCAGGAAAAGAACCAAACTGGTGTTTGGAGGGGAAGGGGAGCTAGTCTAGGAAGCAGATGCAGTGCGGATACACCCATTTAAAGTTAACATTCTTTCGCTCCATCAGTTCATTCCTGTACACTGCCCCTATAAGAGAAATTATACATTTAGATTTTAGTGACTTTTACTAGTGTGCAGAAATATCTAAATTTTTTTTTTAAAAAAGTAGTTTTACCAGCTTAACCATTCTTTATGAAGTCGAGAATCAATAATGGTAAACAATGTATTTTCTTTGATTCCAATTTCTCCTGTATTCTTTTTTTCTCTCCCAAATTCCTGAACACACATGGGCTTGCTTGTCATAAAGCCCACCTGCTTCAGGAACAGAAGATTATGTATACTGACTGACTCCAGGAATCTCTAGAAAATCAAGTTTTAACTCTTTCAAGAGGGACACTTAGCATCTTTTTTAGATTCAAGAACCTAAAGTGCAGGTTAATACTGGTTTTCTAAGTGACTGGCCACCAAAAACACTGGCCTCTGCATCCCAGAGTGAGAAGGCTGTATGGCACATTCCAGCAAGCACCGACGTCTGCCATCCGTAGAGCCTTACACTTGTGAAGTGACTCTCAGTTGAACATTCTGTCTGCTGTGACCAGATAAGCATTCCGTTTTTGTTATTTATTGAAGTGTCAAGTCCTGTGGCTGTTAAAGTACCACTGTAGCTCGAAGCATCAATGTGTATGAGAATTCCTTGTACAGCATTTAACAGTACTTTGGTTTTCAAAGAATTCATAAGTGGCAAGTGTGCTACAACCAAACACTTGTTTTGAACTTTTTTGATTAAAGTGTTCTTATTTAAAAAATGGAAACTGTATTTTAAATCCCGAACATTAAAAACTAGATGCTGCAGCCTGTCCTTTCCCATCTTTTCCTTCAGGCTCTCCAGGGTAATTAAGTGCTGACAGCAGGGTTGGGGTGAGGGTTGGGTTTGCACAGAGGTGACCCACAGGAAAATCTGGCAACACAAGTGAAGGCAATGTTTATTTCCAAAGAGGCCATAGATGCCTGGTCAGCTTGCCTTGATGCAGAGCTATGAACATGAACATCCTTTGTGTAGGCAGGAAGAGACAGTGCCTCAGAAGGCTGAAGGTTCTGGTCTCTTCTAGTTTGACTTGGGTAGACGACATCCTGCACTTCTAATTCATGAGAAAACGCCCACGGGTACTGGGAACTTGGAAGTTTTATTTACTGGACATGGTTACTCAAGGGAACTTTTCTGTAAGATCAAGCAAAATTATGACTTTTCTTTGGTAAATTACAGTTTACATTGGTACAGTTTGACAAGACAAACTAAAAACTTTGTTCTAGGACAAAAAACGTATTTTCAAAAATCTATGTGAACATTTTATTTCCAAAGGTTTAAGGAAGATCTTGTCTACCAGTTATAAAAATGAAAACCAGTTAGAATTCTAATATGAACATTATTTACATTAGCTTAGAAAAATAGATTTGAGGTTAGGAAAGAACGCTGAACAACTAGTAGTCTGTAATGTACTTCCTCTCATTAGGCTAATTCCTTGATTTATCAAGGCTGACCCTGTTTCCTTGGTTAACAATGTCAATGCAAGCCTCTTTAGTAGGAAAAAGATAAGGGACCACTGAATTCACCTGTTTCCAAATGAATTCATCTTCATGCGCACCTCAGAGAGCACTGTTCTAACCTTTCTGATTACTGTTGCCACAATTCTATATTAATTTGCAAATTATAAGTAATAACTTTTACTTGAAAATATGCATATCAAAATGAATAGGTCGGAGGAAACCTACCTGTAATATATGGGCCTTTACTGCACTAGCAAATGATGTTACCCATCTAACACACTTGGAAACTATCTGATAAACTTATTATTACAAGCTCAAAATTCAGTACAATCATCAAATCAGCTAAATAACAAGGAAAATGATTCAAAGTCACTCCCCCCACACCCTGCAACAGGCTGAGGATGTAGGTTAGTGGCAGAGAAACACTTCTCATGTATGAGAGGCCAGAGTTCAATACACAGCACCATAAAAAAAGATTCTAACCCCCTCTAAGTTTACATTTAAATCAAATCTTTCATGTTTGCACAAAGTTCCCTTCAGAGTCCCTTAAAGTGACAGTTCCCAAATGCAGGGGTGTGAGAAGAGCTAAGAACTATGCAGTGACCTGAGTCACAGCCATATTTGTTCCAATGAGAACCTCTTGTCTGACAGTGTCCTTTCATGGAAACAAAATGGTGATCACAGTGGTTTCTTATGACTTGGCAAAATCAATTGGCAACCCTACCCCAGAAGTCTCTGGAAGTATTACTAATGTATGAAATCTAAAAGTTGGGGACGCCTGCCATGGGAAAGCCTACTTCTGCAGGTTATTAACAGCTGCTAAGGGAAAGTATCTGTCCAGATGTGGACACTGACACGAGAGAGCTCACGAGTCAATGGCAAGTGCGTCCCGACTAGATATACTCAGACTGCACTCACACGGACGTGGATGCACAGCTTCAGGGGAAGCCGGCACTCCAATAGTCTGGCCTAAGATGCAGCTAGCTACGGCTAAGGAAATGGTATGATCAGCAACATTATCATTATTAAACCTTTAATATCAAATACATTTTTGTACATCATAACTAATTATAAAACAAACTCCAAAACTCCATAAAACCAGTAAGGTAAAAGCCCTTACAGAGAATCATATAAACTTTAGGTGTCACCAGGCTTGATTTCAGGAAAAGTCATTGGTTTTTGCCTACAAATCATCTATAAAACAGTATGGTATAAACAGATCTGAACTGGACAGCACGGTGGCTATAGCTTGCCCACTCTCCTCCAGTTCAGACTCTAAAGCTCGTTCCCGTTCACACACTTGTGCTGCTGAAGTCTGTTCTTTCTGGATGACTCCAGCTGCTTTGCTCTCAGCCATCGTTCTCTTGACAGTGTTGTTTGGCCAGCACTCAGGGACAAAAACCTGGTTTGAAATTTAAAAATTACCTAGAGTTAGGAAGATTAACTTAAAGTTTTAAGAATTAGGAAAGCTTTGAAAGCCCATCAGAAGACAAGAACATGGTTATTACACACAAGCAAAAGTCAGGTGTGATCTCACAAAGAGGCCCCGAGGAGTCAGAATTAGAGGGTGGCTCACTCTTAAAAGACTGTTCCCCCTGCCGAGACCACTGGGAAATGTAAACCCTGCAATAAGTACTTTCACCAGGTGGGCATTCTTTGATGATGATGATGATGCAGCCCAACTGCAGTTTCCTCTCCCTCCTCTCCGCCCAGCCTCTCCTCCCACTCAGCACCCGCCCCTGTCTACTCCTCTTCTATTCAGAAAAGTGCAGGCCTCCCATGGATATCAACCCATATATCAATTGCAGTAAGACTAATCCCCCCGCCCCGCAACATATTAAGGATGGACAAGGTGACCCATTATGAGGAAAGGGGTCCCAAAAGCTGGCAACAGTCAGAGACAGCCCCTGCATCCACTGTTAGGAGTCCCACAAAAAGACCAAGCTACACATCTGTAACACACGAGCAGAGGGCCTAGGTCAGTCCCATGCAGGCTTCCTGGTAGTCAGTTCAGTCTCTATGGGCTCCTATGAGCCCAGGTTAGTTGATTCTGTGGGTTTTCTTGTGTCCTTGAACCCTCTGGCTCCTACCTTCCTTCTACTCCCTCTTCCACAGGTTTTCCAAGCTCCACCTAATGGGTTTTGTCTATGTTTGTGGGAGGCCCAGGGCTGACATCAGGAATCTTCCTCAACCACTCCCTGCCTTATTCATTGAAGCAAGGTCTCCCAGCTGAACCCAGAGCTTGCTGCTATGACCGGGCTGGCCAGTTTGTTCTGGGATTCCCCATGGCCATGCACACCCAGTTTTAGGTGAACTCTGAACTTCAGTGCTCAGGCAAAAGCTTTACACATCTGCTCAGCCCAGGAAGGTGTCTCTGAAGGAAAAGTTCTTTTGCTTTTAGAAGTCTGCCTCAGATCCTGTTGAATAAATCAGAACTGCACACAGCCAAGAGAACATGGAATTATGAGGCCAGGCGGTGGTGGTGCAGGTCTTTAATCCCAGCACTGGGGAGGCAGAGGCAAGCGATCTCTCTGGCCCAGGCTAGTCTACAGTGAGTTCCAAGACAGCCAGTGCTGACACACAGAGACACCCTGTCTCGAAAAACCAAAAGGAAGAAGGGGCCTGTGGAGGAGCGCCACTCACCGAGCCACCACAAGCAGCTGGTGGAGATCATCGGCTGTGATACTCTGAGGGTCGTTTTTACGCATTTCCACGAAGTCATCTTCAACCGCCTTTACCAAAAGAGCAATATACTTGTAAGTCTTCCTTCAAACTTCTTTAAATGCATTTCAAACTATTTCCTTATTTTTATAAAGAGAAAGAAACATGGTCCTTGACTGAAGTAAAAATAATGGACAAATGAGGCAAGATGGGTAAAAAGAGGAAGAACTAAATTTAACCTCCATTACAAATGCAGCATGGAAATTACTGTACACACAGCCCAGTCCCATTAGAGAAAGCAAACAGGCAGAGGGCCAGCATCTGCCACGGTGTGATGCCATTGAACAGGAAGAGACAGCAGAGAAGCTGGCCCAGCAATGGGGCTGCAGTGCACACCTGTAATCCCAGCACTCAGAGAACTGAGGGAGAAGGACCACAAGTTACAGGGCTGCCTGGGACCAACACAGAACACAACTACTGCAGTCGGCTTTGTCAAAACCCCAGAAACTTTCAGTAACTTAGGAATCAAGAAGACAAGTGGCTCTTGGTAAGACATTTCAACTTGTTTTCAAACTCCACACCCCCACCTGAGGTAATGTTCTTTTTTTTTTTAAAATATTTATTTATTTATTATATATACAATATTCTTTCTGCGTGTATGTCTACAGGCCAGAAGAGGGCACCAGACCTCATTACAGATGGTTGTGAGCCACCATGTGGTTGCTGGGAATTGAACTCAGGACCTTTGGAAGAGCAGTCAGTGCTCTTAACCACTGAGCCATCTCTCCAGCCCCTGAGGTAATGTTCTTGAAAACCAACAGCCTAGCAAACAGGGAGAGCTGGAGTTCCTTTAATGCACCACTCACAGAAGACTGCTACTCTGACCTGTAAGGCTGTTGTTACTTAATCAAACATAAAGCCCATTATACATGTTCTACTATTGTTACCGCTAGTATTTTGCTGTGCTTACTATACAAATTATGCACTAGAAAGGGTTGTATACAACACATTATTATGCCATTATGTGCATGCAAGATCTGGAAGTAGCCAGTTCCAAGCACCTACTGGGGGAACTCTTGAGCATGTATCACTCTTGGATGGGGGGGGGTGAGCTACTATATATAGAATTAAAGGAGAATATATATATACCAAATAGAGACTATCAATAAGAAGAAAACAATGTTTAAAAAGAAGCAAATAGGAAATTCTATAGAAAAAAAATAAGGTAACTAATAGCAATAACAAATTGCTAGGTATAGAAGATTTAAGCAGGCACAAAAATCAACCAACCAACTTCAAGGCAGATAAACAAAGAGAAAAGGGAAAATGAACAGAGCTCCAAAGACCTGGGGTTCACCACCAAATTCACTGACCAAGTGACAGAAGGGCTAGTGGGAGAGAGGGAGCAGCAGGGGAACTGAAAGAAATAATGGCCTTAAACCTGAAGGGTGCTTGTTGAAGACATCATCAAAATACTGTGCACACCAAGCTCAGCAAACTGCAGCAGGACGGACTCAGTAGAAGCCCAGTGGCGTCTACTCAGGGTCCTGGAGGTGTGCTCCTTAAGGAGGAGCGGCTGCTGACAACCCGGGAACAGACTGTGGCATGGGATAAGAGCTTTAATCCCAACACTCAGGAGGCAGAGGCAGGCAGATCTCTCTTTAATTTTTAAAAAAAAAGGCTCAATGACAGGTGCTTTAGCCCATGAAGGCCCTGAGTTTCAACCCTCAAGTAACACTAGCGCCCTTCAGATAGGAACAGAAAGCCCAGTAAAGGCAACGGCACAGGGAAATGCTGACCAGTGTACAGACAGGCAGAGTGGTGCCTGCCCAACCTCACATTCCCTCCAAGTCTAAGTCTAGCTTGGCTACATAGTAAAACCACAGATGACTCAAAAAAGCAACAAAAATTTTGTTTTCTTGTTTAAGCTTTTCCCCTCTGGTTTGAAAGACAACTGCACGAAGTGACAATGAAGTGTCATGGTATACAACACACAAGGACAGAATCTGTGAAATAACAACACGAATGAGGGAGTGAAGAACAGACTGGAAAGGAGCACATTTTCATGTATTGGTGTAGTTACACCATCTGCCAATTCTAAAGAGACCAAGGCTCCTAACTGACTTCATGAGGTAGGAGACAGACTGCTCGCTGCTCTGACAGACAAAGGAACTGGTTTTGATCCCTAGCGCTGAAAATAATTAGACCAAGCAAACAAAGCCAAAAGCAATTCAAATGCAGAAAGGAGGCAGCAACTAAGTAAAAGGACAGAGAATGAATCTGCTTCAGGCAGCAGATGATGTACTAAAGGCTAGAGACGGCAAACACCAACTCTGCCTTACAGGTAACTGTGCTTAAGTCACATCAGGTGAACCCCAAAACTCAGCCCAGGATTTCTTGCTGTGACTAAGACATACCTTGGTTATGTCATCTGAAATGTTGTAATCCAGAAACCTCAGGAGGGTCAGGTAGATGCGGAACTTGTTGAGCACAGACGGCAGCACAGCCGAGAGAAGGCTGTTCATGTACTCCTCCATGTTGGGCGGCATCAGCTGGGGCTGTAAGTGAATCTGGCAGTCTGCCTGGAAAGAGGAAATGAACTGATTTCCAAGGTCCTACGATAACCTACATTTATAGGATGCAGCTCTCAACTTGGAAGGGAATTAGAAAATAGTAGGTATTTGAGGAGGGGAGTATTTTTAAAATCTTAGTGTACTCAATCTGTCTGACTGCATCACATAAGACATGAAACCATTGCAATGTGATTTTCTGTCTGGCTCAAGACCAGATCTTATCCTGTAAGTTAGGCTAGGCTTAAAGTCAATATACAAACATTTGAGACGGGCATAGCTCATCTGGTGAGGATGCTTGCTGCCAAGTCTGATGCCCTGAGCTTGACCCCCAGGACCACACGCCGGAGAGAGCAACTCCTTCAGGTTGTCCTCCAGCTCTGCACAGCCGCTGCAGGTGCGCATGGATCACACGACTGGGAAAAGGAGCAAAGGGAGTAGGAACAGCGGTCTAGATGACTAAGGGAAATAGCGTCTCTGTATTTCCAGATGTTACGGGCTCTCCTACTAGTAGCTTTGGCTATCTTGTGATGTTGGGATTCTTAGCGGTTATAAATTTTTACAATGAGGTAAAATGAGATACCAAATTCCCTTGTTAATAACTAGCAGCTACCATCTCCTTTGTTGTAACCTATCAGTGAAATCCAGAGCCTCACATAGACAGGCAAGTGCTTTACTGCTGAGCTGTACTCACAGGTCTTTTGAGGTATGGGTCTTACTATGCCACCAAGGAAGGATGTGACTTCGCCACCTTCTCACCCCAGCCTCCTCAGTGTGTAGGACCACAGGCATGGACTAACAATCCAAGCTCGCCCACAATTCATAAACAAATGCAACTTATTAAAATAATAAGCAGCACTGAGCTAAGGAAATGGCTCAGCCTGTGAAGTGCATACCCTTGTGGGGCAGAAGAGATGGTGCAGCAATTTAGAGCACTTAACGACTTTACAGAGGACAGTCTGGATCCCAGCACACACAGTGGTGGCTCACAAATGCATTTAACTTCAGCTCCAAGGCTCCAACCCCCCAGTTCTGGTTTCTGTGGCTGTGAATGAGCACAGGCACACACCCACACTGATAGAATAGTAATACTTGGAGCTGCAGAGCTGGCTCAGTGGTCAGGAGCACTTGCTGTGCTCCTGCAGAGACCTCAGTCTGGTTCTAGCACACACATGGTGATTCACAGCCAACCCTAACTCTAGCTCCAGGGGATCAAATGCCCTCTTCTGTCCTCCATGGGTACCAGGGCATGTAAGTGGTGAACACACATACATGTATGCACTCTTACACATAAAATAAAATATTAAATAAAATGTGTGGCACACATACATAAAATGTGGTTTTTGGCTTTTTTTTAGAAAGGGTCTCTCTGTGTAGTCCTGGAGCTCACTATGGAGAACAGCTGGTGTCCAGCTCAGAGATCTGCATGTCTCTGCCTCCCCGAGAGCTGAGAAGTACACCACCACTCCTGGCCCAAAAAATAAACCTTCGAAACACACACACACACACACACACACACTCACACACACACACACACCTTGAAGACTAGCCTTAAATCCCTAGAATCTACATAAAAATGAAGGATGTGTTGGTATACCCTTGTAATCCCAGGTGACTCTGGCTTGCTGGACAGTGAGACTAGTGAGCCTACTCGGCTAGGTCCAGGCCAGTCAGAGACCCTGTCTCAAAAGGCAAGGTGTACAGTTCCTGAGAAACAGCAGCCAAGGGCGACCTGTGGCCTTGACACACACTGCACAAGTGCAGGCATCTGCACACAGGGACAATATAAGCAACAAAAACGGACAAAGTGACAACAACCGCTCCACTTAACCATGAGCTGTCATACCGGGAGTAGTGACCTCCCCTCGGATGTGATGAGGACGTTGATGTTGCACGGGAACTCCATCTGGTGGTAACTGAAGTCATAATCTACCTTCTGCCAGGTTATCAGGTTGCTCAGGGCAGTCACATTATGAACACCTGGAAGAGCAAGACTGTTACTGGCAGTGATGTGAGCATCACTTTTTAATCGCATACTCAAATTAGTTTGTCTGACAATGATCTTAACACATGTGATTTTTCTGCTGCTTAGATAAAGGTACCAGTAGCCAAGAACTTAACAAGTGCTATGTCAGTAAGCCAATAGGCTCCACAGACAGCACTGGGCCAACGCGAGCTTTCTGAGGCCAGACCTCACCCAAAGCCAATGCCAAACACAAAGTGCGACTCTGGTAAGTGCATTACTTCCTAGGTCATGGTTATAAGACGGGAAATCATTTCTTTAGAAAATAAAGTTGTTGAGTTTTCCCAGTTTATGTATTTTTGAGAGAGGGTTGAATGAAGCGCAGGCTAGCCTTGAACTTCTAGTTCTCCTGCCTCTGCCTTTCAAGTGATAGGAATGTAGGTGGGTGCCACCACCCCTGGCTAAACCTTCCTAATTTTAGGCTCCTCTTTGCCTTATAAATTCCCAGAATTCATTATTTTTCAGCTATTTATTGTGCCCCGCCTCCTCCCAGCACAGCGACACTACTCCGAGCACTGCCCGCTCTTCATGGGAACAGGATCTAGCACCTCTCTCGACTTTGTGGGGGGCGGGAGACTGTGTAGTCCTGGCTGTCTTGGAACTTACTCTGTAGACCAGGTTGGCCTCGAATTCAGAGATCTGCCTCTGCCTCCCAAGTACTGGGATTAAAGAAGTGCGCCACCATATCCTGGCTTCTTGTTTTTTTTTTTTTAACATATTCCATAACTGAGGCTAGTTTAAACCAAATGGTCTATTTTTTTCCCCCCAGAAATCATTGAGAACTATTTATGGGATGTATAAAATATTACATTAAATCTTTTCTATCCTCTTTGAGCTAACAGGCAACCAACAGAATATCATAATAAAACAGCATATACAGTTTGTAGTACATGCCTTAGTCAAATGCATGTTTTAAAAATATCTGGTAACTATAAGTTTGCTTTAGAAGACATTGTTAGGTCTGACTAAATGGAGCAAAGCCACAAGCGGACAGGAGGTCCACATGCCTACCTGAGGTGTCCAACTGCCCTTGCTCTAGAAGAGTCTCATCAATGACCAGGGACGTGTTGTTGGGCAGCTGGAGAAGACCGCTGACCAATCGGTTGGCTGTGTAGTCTTTGTGGGGAATGAATTTCAATTGGTTCATGTTTTCTATCGTCATCTGTAGACGAAAAGACTGAAACAGAAATTGTAATGAGGAAGGATCCAAGTTTCTCTATTAAAAAATACACAGAGACACATATTGAGTCAAAACGTGTGCTTCACATGGTAAGACATCATTTCTAAGGAAAGACAAAATCATCTCTGCAGCCACAGATACAAAAACATTTGTGTGTGTGTGTGGTTTTTTTTTAAGTCTTGATAAGTAACTTTTACTCTGAAACAAGTGGTAGACAGCTCAAATATCAGATACCCAGAGGCTGAACTTCACTATTCCACACTGCAGCCCAGAGCATGGCCTCCCCATTGCCTCCAGCCCCCACCACACTTGGCAGTCTCCTGTCTGCTCTGCACCCTTCTACTCATGCATGGTGCAGCCTTCGGAAAAGCACAGAGTAGGGAGTCTGTGGAGGAAAAAGATTACAGCTAAAATTTAAGAGAATTATAAATACTTTGGCTTAATTTTCTTAGAAAGGAGGGTGGGAGTTGTTTACAGATACAGAAGTCCCAGAAGAGGTAGGGCTTGTCAAAAAAAAAAAAAAAGGTGGCTGGCTACAGAGATGGCTCAGTGGTTAAGAACACTTGTTCTTGCAAAGGATATGGTTTCTACTCCCAGCACCCATACAGAGGCTTACAACTGTCCATAACTCCAGTTCCAGCGGATGCAACACCCTCTGTTGGTCACCATGGGCACCTGGCATGTACATGCTGCACCGACATACATGCAAGGTAAACACACATACATCTTAAAACAAAGAAAAGTGGCCATGTGCTGGGGCTGAGACAGACTTTGCCACAGAACCAAAGGCAGGACACATATAACCAGTAGTCAAAGCTGAGTGTTCTATTACAGAGAGGAGCACTGAGAAAGGGCCTAGTGCCAGATGAAAGAGACAGGGTCAGTGAAAAGCAAAACAAGGAAAAGTGACCAGAACAAAATGCAAACACATACCATACTGTCACTTCTAAGCCCTTTCCTCCACCCTCTCCCATGTGAAAATGTAGCCTGTGTCCTCAGTGTGCAAGAACCTCTGGGCTCACAACTGACAGCAGGATGGCCTTTTGGCGCCACCTTGTGTCTGAGAGCTGATATTACACCAGCTTCTTTGCAGACATCACTCACTCCAAGTAGGAGAGAGGAAGAACATAACCCCAGCCAGGCAGTCACCAGTCGGCTCCAAAACCATCCATGAGTCTTAGGCCATTCTGTATAGATGGGCACATGGGCACCACCAGTGTCTCCTATCCCATTTCAAGTGCTTTGTTGTCCTGCCATGAATTTTTTTTAAAAGACTTATTTATTTATTATGTATACAGTGTTCTGCCTGCATGTATGCCTGCAGGTCAGAAGAGGGCACCAGATCTCATTACAGATGGTTGTAAGCCACCATGTGGTTGCTGGGAATTGAACTCAGATCTTCTGGAAGAGCAGTCAGTGCTCTTAACCTCTGAGCCACCGCTCCAGCCCTCTGCCATGAGTTTTTAAAGCACACACCAGCAATTACTTTCTTGGTCTTGTACTACAAACACATACAACTCAGAGAGCCTATTTCAGGAGCTGTGGGCTTTGGGAACTGCTAAGACCCTGTTACAGGGTTTATGAATGAGTCACATGTTTACCCTCATTCTTTCAAAATGGAAGACAGATGAGTTTTACCATAGAGAATGTACAAACGCCATTACACCAGCTAGCACCTATAACACCCCAGATCAAAACACATCACCACAGGTGCAAATGTGGAAACGGACTAGAAAATCTAGGGGTCTCATACTAATTTAGAAATTCAATAGCTTGGGAAAACCCAAAACAGTGCCAATTTTATGACTATTTTGATAAATATAATGAATTACTCAATACAGAAATTAGTGAAAGCACAGCCTGTTGGGTAAGTGGCCCCTAGTCCTGAAGCACAGCATGATGGGTGAAGGGCCTGCCAGGCTTCATTTTTTAAGACCCCAAGAAGTGGCCAGCATTTTTAGATATATCACCCATCAAAGCAATTCCCCTATCCAAGATCCCGACACACAAATGGCACATTCCAAATGGTTCCAAACAGTACCTAACTGGGCCATGGAGATAAGCAGATGAGAGAACTGAGCTGGTATAATTTAGAGCTTATTTAGATCTCAAGTTTAATATGCACACAAAGGGCCAAACTGGCAGCGGCAGGAAGCGTGATCTTGAGGGAGTTACTGCCATTGCATTAATCTTTAGATTTGCAAATTTGTGCTGGGTCAATCAGTGTCAATGCTGAGGGTACATTTTAAATTATGTCAATTGGCAGGTGTTGTCGCTTGTCAATGAGATCCACAAGGAACACAAAGTTAGTACTTGAGGTGAGTAGAAAATAATTGGCTTTGTTGTTCATAATACTTTATCAGAATATTATCTTACTGCTGGAACAAGGTGTTGAATGATCCGATACAGGTGTTCTGTGAAGGTACTATTTTGTGGGCAGCCACTCAGGTTAACTGTAAATTTTCCTAGTGGAAGAACATCTCTTCTTGTATATCTAGGAGAGGGAAAAAGAAAAAACAAAACAAACAAAAAGAAAGGTAAGATACTGAAATACCATCATTAGACATTTTGCAGAAGCAGGAAGAAATGGCTCAGTGGTTAAGAGCACTGGCTGCTCTTCCAGAAGACCAGGGTTCAATTCCCAGAACCCACATAAGAGCTCACAACCATCCTTGGACCTCCAAGAATAAGATGCCTTCTTCTGGCTTCCACCAGCAATGCATACACAGATATGCAGGCAAAACAGTCATACACATAAAATAAAAATAAATTTAATATTTTTTGCAGAACACCAGCTATTTTATCTATCAGAACAGCAGCAGTTAAATACTAGTCAATACTTAAACTAAACAAAGTGTGAAGGTCTAACGTTTTGGGAAATGGTTACAGTATGGCACAAATATAATGAAATAGCACAGTCAATAGAAAGCTTGTGAAGAAGGCAGGGTGTGGTGGCATGCCCTCAATCCTAGCACTCAAGAAACAGAAGCAAAAAGATCTTTATGAGTTCCAGGGCCAGCCTGGACTATATAGAAGGTTTCAGGCCAGGACTTCATAGTGATACCCTATGTTCAAAAAACAAAACAAAACAAAACAAAACAAAAACAAAACAAAACAAAAAAGATGGGAAAATGAAGCTAACTAAGCATTAAATGGAAAAAACCAAGATAAGGATCTGTTCTTTAACCACAAGTGACACCCACATTAGTAAACATAACATGGGATATAAACCAAAGAACACACACAAGTAGTAAATGGGAAGAGACTGGCATGGGAGAGCAAGCAATTTTCTTCCCGATATTAGGATACATTACTTTTTAAAGCAAAACAAAAAAACCTGTTGGGGAATGGCGGCACATGCCTTTAATAGTCTCAGGAGGGAGAGACAGGCAGATCTCTGAGTTTGAGGCCAGTCTGGTCTACAGAGCAAGAGCCAGGACAGCCAGGGCTACACAGAGAAACCTCATCTCAAAATCAACAAAATTTAGAAGGAAAAAAAAGGGGGGGAGGTGGAGGAGATAAAGTCAATATACAAACTAGAAAGAAACAAAGACAGGCATCACCATTTAACAGCAAAGCCTGGAAAAATATAAGACAAATGGTTATGGGTATGAACTCAGTGGTAAGGCACAAGGAGACCCTGGGTTAAGCTACATTTCCATAAAGAAGGGGAAAAGAATGCAGAAAAGATCAACAGTCCGTCTCACTCGTCAGTCATGCACTGCCTGGTCTTCCCTCTAATGTTTACTAAGAGGACACAATCAAAATGTTTTGTGTGTAACTAAGAAAAGGTGAAAAAGAATCTGTATTTGGTGCAACATTTGTTCTATGGAACAAAAAATATCCCATTTGAATATGGAGCTGACACAACAAACAACTGAACCACACTGTTCCCTTCCACTCTCTACCCCACACCTCAGTTCCCACGAAGAGCACAGCACTTACACTGTTGAGATGAGATGTAATATAAGGTATTCTGCAGCCAAATTATCTCCCAAGAGTGCATGAGTGAGGAATCCAAGCAGCTCTGCTCTGACTGGAGACAACTCAGACATGAAACTGGATACAACTGCAGAAGGAAGGGACAAAGGACATGAGAGTACGCAGGTCAGCTCTGCACCAGCATCTCAGTGCAAGAACAGGAAGGAACACTACATTTCTAGGGACAGTGAGCATGAACTTAGAATAATCGTCAACAAATGAGGCCAATATTAGAGTGGGCAAGATGGCTCAGAAAATAAAGGCATTTGACACCAAGTTCAATGACCTGATAACCTAAGTTTGATCCAACAACCCACATAGTGGAAGGAGAGAATTGACTTCTTTACGTTCTCCTTTTACCTCCACATGCACGCCCTGGCACATGCATGCTCTACATCCCCCCACAAATAAAAGACAGGCTTTCTCTGTGTAGCTTTGGAGCCTGTCCTGGAACTCTCTGTGTAGACCAGGTTGGCCTCGAACTCACAGAGATCTGCCTGTCTCTGCCTCCTGAGTGCTGGGATTAAAGGCGTGCGCTACCACCACCTGACCTTAGGTTTCATGTCAATGACAGAATTAATAGAAGAGGAAATGGGGCAAAGCCACTAGTTACTAGAGAACTTACTCTGCTGAGCAGGGACTATGGCCCACATGGAGGTGAAACTGCCACTCATGGGCCCAACACTTACACTTACAGGTTCTGCTCTCCTCCTTGTTAAGGCAAGTGGGTAACAAAGGATTGATGTGCTGCAGCTTCTGGGCTAAAATAACATGAATTCTTGGCACTAATGAAGCTGGAGGACTATGCACCCTCTGCTCCTCTGCCATGTCTGAGCACTCCATGGGGTCCAGCAGTGCAGAGGCATCCCTGTGGAGAGGGATATGTTGTTTAGAGATACCAAATAGCAAAGAAGTAGAAACGACAAGCACTCTGAAGACAGACTCAGAATCCTGCTCATAGGAGTCTCCATCTCCCATGAGGTCAGAATGTGGTCCCTCAATCTAAAATGTTTCTTATCACTCAGAAGTGCTGGGTCATGGCACAGCACAATGGGTGAACTCTACTACCCAGAACCACTGTGTTCAACTCAGTGAGCAAACAGTGTCACGCACATGACAGAGGATGCCATTCACAAGACCATTTCAAATCAGGGGTTCCTTGAATTCTCATCACATCGCAATCCTGGGATCCTTTTCTCCAAAGCCACAAGTGCTTATTACTGAGTGTGGAGAATCATTCACCTCTATCTTGCTAATGGTCTTTGCTAAATTTTATTCTCATGTGATACTCCACCTCACTTCAAAGTGTGGGCAAGTGATTAAAATGCTGTGAACACTGAGGTTTGCTAATCAATTCAAATACGATAGACTCACTAGGCAGCCACTAAATAAATGTGACTAAAATGTGTAAAGTCTTCAACGGTCAACACTATACATACAAACTCCATCAGATCTCAGTTCACAAAGTCTACCCCAGTCTGTGTTCTTCCCCTCTGAATCAAGAAGCTTCAGATATCAAGTAATTTAGAAGGAAAGCTGTTGGGTGTTGTAGCACATGCCTTTAAACCCAGCACTTGGAAGACAGAGGCAGACAGTGAGTGAGTTTGAGGCTAGCCTGGTCTACAAAGTGAGTTCCAGGATAGTCAGGGTTACATAGAAAGACCTTGTCTTGAGGGGGAAAGTTTTTTGTCAATGTTTTTGTATTGTTGTTTTCTTTTTTTCCTTTTCTTTTTTGAAACTGGGTCTCACTATTATATTCTTGGCTGTATTGGAACTCACTATGTAGAACCATGCTGGCCTTGAACTCACAGAGGTCCACCTGCCTGTGCCTCCTGAGAGCTGAGATTAAGGCTTGTGCTACCATGCCTGGCTTTTTCCAATATTTTTAAGTGTATGTATTAAACCAATAACCACATAGCATCCAGCAAGTCTCCTGCAGGTGTGATGATGCCAGTCCTTCCTTCCCTTTGGCAAAAGATTGAACAAGGTCTAGATTCCCACATTTCATTATATAATTTTTAAAAATAGAAAAACACAAATATACCATCCCTTATCAAACAAATAAAGGGGTAGGACTGAAATATATGTAGCTACATGTTTTCCCAAAGGATATGTATATAGGAGGGTTCCCAGGGGGTGGGAACACAGACACTCCTGCAGCACAGTCATCTAGTTCTGTAGGGGTGGAGAACAGCTGGGAAGTGAAATGTAACCACACAAATGAACCTAAATGAAATGAACACCAGAATCAAAACGGACAAGAGAGACACCTGGGCGCTGCAGAGGGCAGCACTCTACATACAAAGACTCCTCTGAAACAAAGGAGCACAGCTGCAGGTGTGCTGGTGTAGACCTGCAACCCTAGCATTCAGCACGCAAAGGCAGGACTGACGCAGTCAGAGGAAAGCCTGTTCCACAGAGTGGCATGTGTCTTAAAAGACAACAAATAAGAACACAGACACTGGAACAGACAATGGCCGTGCCACGGTGGCACTGCTCCCCAAATCTGTAATCCCTTCTGTGTGCACTGTAGAACTGAGCAAAGCACACTGAGACAATGAGTAGACAACCACAGGAGGAAGACAACTGGAGCGGCAGAGCGTGTGCTGGCTGAGTGTGAACTCAGGGCTTTTTCTTTCTTGAGATTGTCTTGCTACATTACATGGTCCAAGCTGGTCCAGAACTCAATATTTTCTGTCTTAGCCTTCTAAGTGTTGGGATTATGCGTGTGTATCACCAAGCACAGCAAATTCATAGCTTTACACAGAAAACATAGAAATACATTTAATATGTGAGGATCCTTATCTATTACCCTCCATAAAACTCAACTCCAAATGAATCAGGCAGAGTATACTTGAATTTACAGGCTCAGGAAGACTTTCTAACGTGGGATGTCCTTCTGTGTATACACTGCTTTTATTGGTTGATGAATAAAGCTATTTCGACCAATGGCTTTGAAGAGTAAAGCCTGGAGGGAAATCTGAATAGAGATAGATAGATAGATAGATAGATAGATAGATGGATGGATGGATGGATGGATGGATGGATGGGCAGAGTCGAGGAGATGCCCTGTAGCCACTGAAGGAGTAACATGCTGCACCAGTAAGCCACAACCTTGTGGCAATACACAGATTAATAAAAATGGATTAATTTAAAATATAAGAGCTACCTAGGAATATGCCTAAGCCATTGGCCAAAACGGCTTTATTCATCAATAAATAAAAGCAACACATATTCAGGAGGACTTCCCACATCAACTTTCTTAACAGGAACCCAGAGGACAGGTATTGAGAGTAACAACTGACAAATGGGATCACATAAAGTCCTGTGAGATGGCACAACCTTGAAGAAGCAGGGAAAAGTACAGGTCCCTAGAGAACTGGAGAGTGCCCAATAGAGGATTATGGAACTGGGATAGGGGATTATGGAACTGGATTTTTCTTCTCCCTGTCTTTTATCTCCTAGCAACTAGATGAGTATTTTCTTCTCAGCCATACTTCCCAGCATATACAATACCTCCATATAGAACAAAAGAACCCAGTACATGTGATGGGAACTCCATAGCTGTGAGTCACACACTGACACTCTTTATAAGTGGAAGATCTCAAGTACAAGAACAGAAAGCTAACTGAACAGCCTCCTAGCTCTGTCCATTACTAGGATCCAAAACTGAACCAACCCAGTATCAGTACTTATTCGACTTAAATAAAATTCCTTACCAGAGGAAATGCCTTCCTGAAAAACGAAAGAATAATAAGCGGGTAAATACAAAGTTCAAGTTGCTTAATGTAATGAAATAAATATTGAAAATGGTAAGGTTACCTACACTTGTTAAGGACCTACAGTTGTTGTGGACTATTACTTTAACTAGGCAAACACTTGTTTATGCTGCATTTCTTTAGCAATGTAAAGATGTGTTGCTTTGCCTGCCTAAGACACCCGATTGATTTAATGAAAAGCTGAACAGTCAAAACTAGGCAGAGGAGAGACAGGCGGGGCTGGTGGCAGAAGAATAAGTGGAGGGCTCCTGGGAAAAGAAAATGAGGAGGACAAGGAAGGGAATGAAAGAAAGGTAAAAAGCCTGGAGGTAAACATAGATGAAGAGAAACAGACTAAATTAAATGAAAGAGCTAGTGCAACCAGCATAAACTAAGACTGAACATTCATAAGTAATAGTAAGTCTCCATGTCATGATTTGGGGCTAGCAGTCAAATAAAGTCTGCTACATTTGGTGCCCAACATGGGGCCTGAATTTCCACACAGGCCCTGAGAAAGCTGGGGGGGGGGGTGGCAAAAACCAAACCAAAACAAAAAAACCAAAAACGAATATGGGCTCCTTTAAGAGGCTCTGCTGTATATCAAATACCTGAGTAGCTAGAAGGTTAAGTAGAAGCTGGGGTCATTAGATGCGGTTCCCAGTAGGACAGGCTCGTGGGGAATAAAGCTCAGCTTTCACGGACCTGAGTGGGGTTGAGCCACTCGCCAGCACAGAGCTACATAGCAAGTTTAAGGTTTGGCTCACACAGTCAGAAAAGGCTAGAAACACACAGTAAAGAAGGTCCAAATTGGAAAAACCTCTAAACAGGTTACAGTGTTTAAATGTGCATAGGCTTAAGGGGGAAAAAAAAAGGTATAGATAGACAGCCATAGAAAAAATAGTTTATAAATAATAAAGTCTTTAAAGACAGAGTAAAATAGTATAAAAATAAGTCACATAAAGATGGGGAATACAAAGGGAGTATTATGTTTGTTGAATTAAAATTTTTGGAATGCTGATGGGAATGACAGCTGCGGAGAGACACTGGGGTGTAAAAGGGACTGCTGAGTTAAACCACCTGGATACTTCAGGGATGTCTTAACCTTAAAATGGAAATCAGAGACTGTATTGTGCTGGGAAAGAAGTCATGCTTGTGTATGACAGCAAACAAAAGGCTAAAGATTCCTTCAAGGTTAAAAGAGATCATGTTTGATGGGGGAGATCTCCTGAAATTTTGGTTATAGACATAAAAGAAATAAACCAAGAAAGCTACAAGGCAGACGGCGTGTATGCTGGTCCCTCTGCATGGGGCAGCTCCGAGACTGCACAAAGTTATAGCTAGTTCTCCCAGGACTTGACCATACCTCAATTTTCTCAGGGTCCCCAAAAGATGCCATCACCCTCAGACAACAGGAAGCTGTCTAGAGAACACAATGCCACATTCCCAAGAGGTGGGGTGAGTGATTTTTGATCATTTGGTGGGTTATGGATATTTGTCATCATTTAGGGAAGTTGTTTGCAAAACTGTTATTGATCATGGTAAGAAAAACTAAGAAAAGGAGGTTAGTTTGAGGGTCTTGAAAAGAAATAAGATATAGGAATATAGAATAAAAAGACAACTATTAATCCCAAATATTGTACATTGGTATGAACTTTGGTATATTAATGCAAATTTAGTTATTTTTGTTATATGTATATATGTTTCTATTCTTGTTTGGGGTATTGTGCTTACGCAGCTCATTTCAAATGCAATGTATAATTAAGAAATGCAGCATAGTAGTTAGTCATCTACAATACAAAACTTGGAAAAAATTAAACTTGTAGTCATATTAGGTATATTTTCAAGGTTAAACATATATTTTAGAAAGATAGGTGATCTTCTAACACTTCAAAGACCTACAAATTATGGCATTTCAAATATTTTGTTAGCATAGGGCTTTTCATGACAGTGAGACACATCTGCCTCTGGCAGCATCAATTTAGTTCAGAAAGGATAATGGACATTGGAGAACCTCCATATGGAGTTTGTTTCACTGTGGCAAAGCTAGACATTTGGGCAAAAAAAACCTTCCCTTGCTTGACTCCTGACAGTATGCTGCACAGACTGGACAGGAATTACACAAAGGAAAAAGACTGACGAACTTTGCCAAAACATGGCAGGGCCTTCCTTCAAAATTCTTGCTTCATAGAAAAGGCTACCAGATATTCTAGGACTGTAAACAAAGATGGATGCCCTGATGTGGCAAAAGAATCTCAGGTGACTGTCTAGGTAGCCAGGTGTCTCTGCCATTTCTATAGTTTTGGAGGTGGCTTGCACTGTACTTCCTGTTTACTCAGGAAATACTATATCCTTCTGGGGTCTTTGATGCAGTTGAAGACTAGATAGTTGCAGGTTTCTTTAGTCATGATAGAAGGTAAATTAGATACAAACCTTTGGACTCACCAAGATAGGATAAATAATATTTTCTCTGAATTTGCCAAATACAAATGGACTGGATACTATAAATATAATCTTTACCTGATAATTGTTTTATTGTATATAGTTTTACTATGTTAAAGCTAAAACCCTTCCTTTTTATTTAGACAAAGAGGGGGAAATGTGAAATATTACTTTAACTAGGCAAAGATGTGTTACATTTGTTTATGCTGCATTTGTTTAATTATGTAAAGATGTGCTGCTTTGACTGCCTAAGGCACCTCACTGGTCTAATAAAAAGCTGAATAAATAGGCAGAGGAGAGACAGGTAGGGCTGAAAAGCAGAGAATAAGTAGGAGACCAAGCAGAGAATAATCTAGGTTCAAGGGAAAAGAAAATGAGAAGAATGAGGGGAAAGCGTAGGAGATACCCAGGGCCAGGCAGACATGGAGTAGGACATACAGAATGAAGTAAACGTAAAAAGCCCAGAAGTAAACACAGATGAAGAGAAACAGGTTAAAATAAGTTATAAGAGCTGGAGGGACAAGCAAAAGACAAGGCCAAGCACTCAGAAGTAATAATAAGTCTCTGTGCTGTGATTTGAGAGCTCACTCATGGCCAAAAAAAGTACGCTGCACAGTTTGCTCACTGTGGCTCCTACTAACTAAATCTAGGAAAATCTGAGTCTCAAAAGACATGCTGATATTGAATAAAATGAGAGTTCATTGGTTCATACTGACATAAAGAAATTACTTGAAAAACAACTGTAGGAAGGACACAGTAGAAAATGGCTACTGTAGCAGAGACAAAGTTAATGAAGTGCCTCTGAGAGACAACACAAGTCAACAGATTCTGAGATGCTAGACAGTCACACAAACAAAAGTATCTTTCAAATTATCAATGACAAAGTGAAAAGCGCTCACATGACAAGCAATACCACCCTAACTGAGCGATGGGCACTAAAGACACTCGTGCATCAGTGGCACAACCCTGGGAAGACTGCTGTGCCTGGCTTACTTTCACAGCCAGGGGATGCCAGGATGGGATGAGGGTGGTACACAAAGAGCAGTAATGACAAGCATGGCATGGGTGGTGTAACTGGTAACTATCTGAAGACAGGAAAGGATGTTCTTTGTAACTCTCTGCCACTGTTCGAAACCCAACAGACAGACTCACCTTTCTTCATTATTCAGTATGCTCAGGACAGGATCTACAGACAGCACACCATATAACTCAAGAACGTCATTGACTTTGAAGCAGTCCCAGTCTTCATAGACCTGACAACAACACAGAATCAGGTTAGCACTGAACGACATAACCAGAACTTGCCAGTCAGACAGCGAAGTCAGCAAGCATGTGAACAACCACACTCCCGCAGAGGCTGTCAGTCAGACAAAAGCTAAACCAGAGCCAGGTATGTCCAGAGCCTACCTGGCTGGTCTAATACCGACCTTGGGCTCAAAGCAATCCTCAGGCCTCTGCCTCCCAAGTGTGGGGATTGATGTTTTAAAGCACCACAAACATTTTAGTTTTATTTTACATCAGGGTCATGTTATTGTAGCTCATGCTAGCCTTGAGTTCTTGATCTTCCTTATCTCAGCTTCTAGAATGGCAGGACTGGGCATGTGATGCAACACCCTTTATTTTAAATACAAGTGAGAAGTGGATTTTGAAAAGGTAAAATAGCAGAAATAAAATATGAAGTCAGAAACGACATAGGAAGGAAGTAGATATGAATTTAGAAGGCAGCCCACTTTGAATATGACTTTACCCTTTGGTTTGTGAGACAGGGTGCTGCCCAGCATCACGTCAGGTTGACAGAGCTCGTCAGTGAGGAAGGAGCCTCCACAAGACTGGGCTATAGGCAAGCCTGCAAGGCATTTTCTTAATTAGTGTTAGATATGGGAGGATCCAGCCTATTGTGGTTGGTGGTTTGGATTCTATAAGAAAGCAGGGTAAGCAAGCCTGTTCCTCATGGAGCAAGCCAGTAAACTGTACTTTTCTCCACGGCCTCTGCAGCAGCTCCTGCCTCCAGGTTTCTGCCCTATTTAAGCTTCTGTCCCAATTTCCTTTGATGATGAACTAATATGGAAGTGTAAGCTAAATGGACCCTTTCCTCCCTAACTTGCTTTTGGTCTTGTGTTTCGTCATGGCCACAGTAACCCTGCCAAAGACACAAGGTCTCACTATGTAGCTCAGAATGGGAGTGAATTCTCCACCTTCCTTCCTCTATTCCCTGAGCAATGGGATTACATGCATATGCCACCACACCAGGTTCCACACTGGCCAATTCTTTAAGAATTTTGTGGCAGTCAAAATAAGGAGCCCCAAAGATGGTCACAGCACAATCGCTGAAATGCTGAGTATGCGAGCTCACATGAAAAGGAACCTGCAGTTGTGCTCAAGGACCCTGAGGTGGTGACAGCCTGGACTGGCTAAGCCGGCTCGGTGTCAGAGAGAACCTTTTCTGAAGGAAATGTGACTACTACAAATGGATGGTCAGATAGACACAGTGCTGCTGTCTTAAAGATGAAGGAGCCACAAGTCGAGGAATGCAGGTAGCCTCTCAGAGCTGGATGAAGGAAAAGACACAACAAGCCAGATCGTGTCCCCTCTCCACCCTAGAGCCTCCAGAGGACAGCACAGCCTGCAGACATGCTGAGGCTTCTCTAATGCCTCATTTGAGGTAGTAGCATCTGTGTAAAGAACTAGGAAAGGCTGTACCTTAACGAGGCAGGCAGGGCCCTTCTCTCCTGGCAGGGGGAAGTTCAGATCGAATGGGGAAGAGAGGTTCAAGGAGTTCAGCTGCTGCCCAGTGGAAGCTTCAGTTTCTAAGCGTTTTGGTTCTCCGCACCAGTGAAGACCACCGAGGCCCCCTAGACTCAAACAGCATTGCATGCGGTCACTTCTAAGCCCAAAGAAAAGAACGCTCTAAAAGTGCTTTTCATTTTGATATAAATCATGTTTATGAGTTGAAAAAGGCTCATGTCAGTTTTAATAACATTATTTGATTCATACCAGAACTAAGATAGACACATAAAATATTTCATTGCTTTCTTACTGTGAAATAGCAACAAACTACTACATCAAATCAAACATATTGGAAGGATTTTGTTTCTTTTCCCTTTTTTGAGAAAGGGGCTCACCGTGTAGTCTGGGCTGGCACTGCACTCTAGGCCATCCTCCTGTCTTAGTCGCCTTAGTGTTAGGATTTCAGATTAAGCTACGATGCCCAACTCAAGTCAGTACTTTTACAAGTTCATTTCATTCCACCCAGCTATGACACTTACGAACCACATCCACGACCAGGACAACACAACAACCCTAGAGAGGCAGTAGCGGCACACACACCTTGGTGGTGAGCAACAGCTCTAACTGGACCTAAGACCCTCTCTGGAAACAAGAAGATCACGCCTAGTACTGGAATCCTAGTTAACTACTCAGTGCTAGTGAAGTTATAGCTCCTGAAGGAGAAGCTACAACCACTAACTTACTAACCCAGCACTAATCTGTAATAACAACCTATAAAGAGATATCCTTACACCCACAGACACGTGTAGTCCCACTCTCCATCAAGGAAACCTCTCTCTGTGACAGCTGAAGACCACGACAGAAAACCACAGCCAATCAAAATGCAGTTGTGGAGGCCAACGCCAATGGATGCATCTAACCAAACAACTCCTGCACCCAAGGCTCAGTCAACACTCTAGAAGAGGTGGCAGAAAAGTTTTAAGAGCCAGAGGATCAGGGACCTTGCAGTGACACTGTGTGTCCTAGTAACATCAGAAACTACACCTGTAAACTCTCACCAATATGACTACCTAACTGTGAGCTGAACAAGGAGGACACCAACGAACATGCTAAATTGCATGGGATAAAGCCCTTCAACCCTACACAAAGAACTACATGCAACTGAGTAAAACTGGGGACAGAGAGGTGGCCCTCCCCAGGGAAGAGCATACAAATTGGTTATCTAGTGCTAAACAGTCATCCCTGAAAACATACATACGACTAACATTGTATGTATCCAACAGGTTGCATTTAGGAAGACATATGCATATACACACACATACATGCACAAAATACCAGCTGAGGAAAACGAGGCTATGAATTTGAAGGAGAACGGGGACAGGTATACGAGTGGGTTTGGAAGGAGGAAAAGGGAGAAATGTATCTAAAATACAATCTTAACCAGGCATGGTGACACAGCCTTTAATCCTGGCACACTGGAGGCAAAGGTGTAAGGATCTCTGAGTCTGAGCTCCAAGACAGCCAGCGCTGCTCAGTAAGACCCTGTCTCAAAAAAAAAGAAAAGAAAAAAACCCTTAAAAATAAACAAAAAAATGCAATTTTAAAAAAAAAAAATAAAAAGTTAAATCTCTACCCAGGCAGTGGTGGCGTACACCTTTAATCCCAGCACTTGGGAGGCAGAGGCAGGTGGATCTCTGTGAGTTTGAGGCCAGCCTGGTCTACAAGAGCTAGTTCCAGGACAGGCTCCAAAAGTTACAGAGAAGCCCTGTCTCAAAAAAACAACAAAACAAAACAAAACAAAAATTAATCTTAGGGTCTAGAAATAGTTCAAGGGCTGGAACACTGGCTCTTGCAGAGACCCGGCTCAGTTCCCTTCACCCACAGGGCAGCTCACAGTTCCGGGACCCCATGGCCTCTTCTAACCTCTGTGAGCATTCACATGGTACACAGACAAGCATGCAGGCAAAAGTTCACAAACAAAATAAATTTCAAATTTTTTAGATTAATTTCAATATTTTCACTTGGATATCTCAAAAGTCAAGAAGAGATACACAGAATAAATAACTGGGTTCTGAGGACTGCAAAGTCAAGTGGTCAGGCATGGTGGCAGGTAGCTTTACATGCTTGCTGAGTCATCTCATCCCTGACTTAGTCTGAATATATGAATTTTTTGTGTGGCTTTATCATACTTGAAAATAGGAAAAAGGGCTGGAAAGATAGCTCACAGGTTAAGAGCACTGACTGCTCTTCCAGAGGTCCTGAGTTCAAGTCCCAGCAATCACATGGTGGCTCACAACCATCTATGAGATCTGGTGCCCTCTTCTGGCCTGCAGGTTTACATGCAAGCAGAACACTATACATAATAAATAAAATCTTTTTAAAAAAATAAAAAAAACCAGTCGGGTGATTGGCAGTACATGACTTTAATCCCAACACTTAGGAAGCAGAGACAGGAGGACCTCAGTGAGTTCAAGGCCAGCCTAGTCTACAAAACAAATTCCAGGACAACCAGAACTGTTACAAAAGAGAAACCCTGTCTCAAAAAACAAACAAACCAAAATAAATAAGTAAAAAGAGTATGTCTCCCAAGGTTTTCTGTTGTCGGTACAACATCTGTTCTTTAGATATCAAAGATATCCACAGATATAAACAGAGCCAATAAATGTAAAAATAAAGTATGGTAGCATGTGCCTTTAATCCAGAGCTTCTCAACCTGTGGGTCATGACCTCTTTGGGATCTAATGACCTCTGCATAGGGGTTGCAATATCAGATAGCCTGCATATCAGATATTTACATTACGATTCATAACAGTAGCAAAATTACACTTATGAAGTAGGAACAAAAATAATTTTATGGCTAGGAGTCACCACAACACGAGGTATTAAAGGGCCAAAGCAGCAGTTGGCAGCTGTGTTAAGTTTGAGAACTGCCTGGCCTACACGGTGGGTTCAGGAGAGCCAGGGCTGCGTAGAAAGATCCTATTTCATAAAGAAACAAAAATGAGAACAGCAACAACAATTCAAACCAGATTTGGCTGGAGACATGGCTCAGCAGCTATTAGGGATGTAAAGACAGTGGCCGCTCCCAAAGTAGTTATAAATAAAAACATAGCCTGTCATACCATGGAATACCAGGCAAATGGAAAATACAGATAAACCTGGTACACACAACAATGTAGATGGATTTCAAAAAAAAAAATTATACTGGATGGAAAAAGCCAAGTCCCGAAGTTTACACGATGGGTGACTTCACTTACATAAGATTCTTATGATGGGCAGGTATGCGATCTGGGCAATGAACTATTCTGCACCTTGCCTGTTGCAGTAGCTATGTAAAACTACACAGAGCTAAGTACACACAAGTGTATGCCTGCAAAACTACGAGCTCTGAATAAAACTGATGAATCCTCTTGGTGTCACTTTCAGGCTACGATCTATTAAAAGTACTCCAGGGCACAGGCTGCAGCTCTTGTCTGGTGTGTGAGGCCCTGGGTTCCACCTCTTCACCATAAGAAAGATGAAAAAAGAACACATTGTTAAGATTATAAATATACAAGCATTACTATTAAGGTTATGAGATCTCTCTATATTATTTCTAAAATGCTGCATAACTCTACTGAACTCAAACAAGGAAGTTTAAAAGTGCTATGTAGCCTGAAAGAAAAATCCAGAATTTAACAAGCAGCATGCTGCATAACATACAAAACCTTGCAAGCCCACAACACTACAGACAAAGGGGAAGAAACAGAAGCAGCACTCACATGAATGAGCACAAAGAAAACTACCACATTCCCAGGATTCAATGGTCACTTAGAACATGCTGTTATTCTGAATGGACTTTAAGGATAAAGAATACTACCCCACCTGTGTTCACCACCTGTAAAAATTCCAATCTTACCAAGTGGTGGTGGCACATGCCTTTAATCCCAGCATTTGGGAGACAGAGGCAGGAGGATCTCAGTGAGTTCGAGGCCAGCCTGGTCTATAAAGTAAGTTCCAGGACAGCTAAGGTTATACAGAAAAACCCTATCTTGAAAAACCAAAAAATAAATAAAATTAAATTAAAAATCCAACTTTAAAAACATTAAAATATTAGTAATAGCCAGGTGGTAGTAGCGCTTGCCTTTAATCCCAGCACTTAGGAGGCAGACAGATCTCTGAATTCAAGGTCAGCCTGGTCTAAAGAAGGAGTTCCAGGATAGCCAAGGCTACCCAGAGAAATCTTGTCTCGAAAAACAACAAACAAAAACAACAAAAAATCATCATTCTGACTTCATAAAATTACAAATGCCAATCTGCAATACAGCCAAATGAAATTTATCAGTATACCTTTATAAACTTAACTGTTCAATAAGTTCCCTAAACCCTACCTTAAAGACAGAGATTCTCACTTCTGAAGGGAAGTGACCAATGCAAAAAGAAGAAATAAAGGCAAAATTGTCTACTTACCATATGAATAAAGCTACTGCTCATTAAGTCCAAGAATGAAATAAGTAATAGATGGGGATTCAGAATTCTTAAGCTCTTATACAACATCAACTGCTGTCTCCAGGGTGTGTTAGAATTAGCTATACTTGAACCTGTGAGAGTGGTGTACCGCTTTAATTCCAGCACTCTGGAGGCAGAGGCAGGCAGATCGCTGAGGCTGCTGAACCACATAGTGAGTTCCAGGACAGCCAGAGCTACACAGAGAAACCCTGTCTAGAAAAACAACACAACACTCCCCGCTCCCCCATAAAAGAATTAGCTATACAACAAAAGCCAAGGGGCAGAAGGCATATGTCAGAGGCAGGCAGATTTCTGTGAGTTTGAGAGTTCAAGATCAGCCTGGTCTATAGAGTTAGTTCCACAAATTTACAGCCAGAGAAACCCTATCCTTAAAAACAAAACAAACATATCAACAACAAAAATCAACAGAAATACCGTGGTTCCAAAAGGAAAGCAAGAAAGGATGGTTTCAGCTAAGTCACTTGTAGGGTAGAGCACAACCATGCTTTCTATTGTTCAAGAATCTGGACAACATTTACAAAGATAGTAACAGATCTTCTTCCATTCAACCACTTGAAACTAAAAGCATCCACCAGAACTTTCCAAAGAGTATTCATTGTAGAAATGCTCAAAAGTTGCTAGGGATGGAAACAGGGCCTCATACCTTTAAGGCCAAAGTTCTACTACCGAGCTTTACTGCGACCAACACCATCCCGTTATGATGAAGTGAAAGGTTATCACACCATACCAGTTCCCAGATCGAGAACTATGTCAGAGAACAAGCCTGAAAACGAACCTTGATGTCATGAGGAAGCTGAGGGCACACATTACCTGCTTGCCTGGCACCTGCATGTTGGTCTTTCTGTTTGTTGGGCTGTAGGTCCATGTCTTCATCATCTTCGTAACTCCTCTTGTGCCGACTAGGCGTATAGGAAGTCGAGGGACTGACTCGAGCTTGGTTTGCATTGACATAGGCGTTAAATAAAAGGTTAAGAAGACAATAATCTTGAACCAGATTATCCTAAATTATGTCAATTACATGGTTCTAAAACATCGCCGATTTGACAATTCAGTTAAAGTATTTTTTCAAAAAAGATTTATTTATTTTTCTTTTGAGTGTTTTGTCTACAATTATGTTTGTAAACCACATGCATGTATTGCTCTTGGAGGCCAGAAGAGGGTGTCACACTCCCTGAACCTGGAATTACAAACCATCCTGAGCAGCTATTGGATACTGGGAACCTAACCCAGGTCTTCTGCAAGAGCAGCCATTGTTCTTAATAGCTGAGTCAACTCTCAGATCATAAAACACTCCTGAAAGGAGGCTAGACAGTTTGGGTTATGAAATAAAAGGTTTTTTCTCTATGCCCCACATCCTCTCAGAAAAAACAACAAACCTGGACAACACAGATAAAGTATCTATCCTCAGGCAGTGGACAACAATGACCATAAGGTCATAATCCTTGAATAAGGAGACACAACCCAAGGAAAAACTCCGTAGCCTTCTGGCTGCAGGAGGACCTTCCAAACTGTAGCAAAGATGAGTGGCAGTCTATCTCCTGCTGGATGGAGAAAACAAAGCCCAGAGTTCAGAGGTGCAGAAGTAGCAGAAATTTACAAAAGGGTATCCAGAGGAACAGCTGTAGACACAAGACCCAGGAATTTTGATCTTTAGCCGAGCACCAAACTGCAGATTCTAACTCAAGTTTCTCATTCCCGAAGGCCTAGCAAAGCACTCAAATGAAGACTGTGCACGCAAGCATCACACATGGACCTGCAGACCACCGCAGGCATCTAAGAGCTAGACACAGTCTGTGTTGTTCTTTAGGGGCTATGTCTTGTAGAACCGGAGTAACTCTGTTGGCGCCCAACGTGGGGCTACATATGGCGCCCAGACGTGGATAAATGAATCCACAGAAAGCCTGAGAAAACTTGGGAAAGAATAGAGTAAAGCATGTTTTGTTGGTAGCAGCAATTTCTCAGGTCTGCTCTGTTTGCTAGAGGCAAGCAAGCACTCTCATCTAAGGGAGGCTTCCTGACTCAGCTTCAGCTGCAAAACCTTACAGCTCTTTTAAAAGGTCCTGTTACAAAACACTTAAATGGTGTTGACAAAAAGTTGAACGCATGCTTTTCGGTTTTCAGCTGTAGCAGGAAAAAAGCTGTGCCATTTTAAAATGCCAGCTTTCTGGGCTGTCCTACCAGGGCAAACTCTGACTCTTTTAGGCAGGCAGTCCGACTGAGTGTGGTCTGTGAGCAGAATACTACAGCTTGCTTGCTAGCAAGGACCTTGAAACGCCATAGAGTTGTGGCAGTGAACACAGCTCTGGCTGGTATCTCAGCCATGAGGCTGGAAAGTTAAGAAATGGGCTGGATCTAGCCGTCAAAGCCACGGCTTTAATCCTCTCCTTAAAGACTCATGTGGTCAGAAAAAGAGAGATATACAGTAAAGAGATTCAAAGATGAAGAAAACCTCTAAATGTTTTACAGTGTGTTAAAAATATATGCAGTCTAAAAGTTAAAGTTCTTAAAAAAAAAGAAAGAGAGTAGTTGGGTGTGGTAGAACACACCTTTAATCCCAATGCCTGGGAGGCAGAGGTACGTTGACCTCTGTGACTTCAAGGGACAGAGGTAGAGATTGACCTCTGTGACTTCAAGGTGTGGTAGTGCACACCTTTAATCCCAATGCCTGGGAGGCAGAGACAGACAGATCTCTGTGAATTCAAGGTGTGGTAGCATACACCTTTAATCCCAACACTGGGGAGGCAGAGACACTGGGACTCTATGAGTTCAAGGACAGTCTGGTCTACAGAGTTATTCCAGGACAAAGATACATACAAAGACCCTGTCTCAAAAAGCCAAAAGTTAAAAATAAAAATAAAAAAAGGTAGAGGTTAAAAATAAAGCTGAAGAAAGATGGAAAATACACAGAAAATCTTGATACTGTATGCTATTATGCTCTCTTTAAATTGTTTGAATGCTGAGGAAGGAGCAACAGCTGCTAAAAGATATTTGTTTATAAATGCTGCTGAACTAATCCAAGATAGATATGTTCAAAATACCTTGACTTCTGAATTTGGATCTAAGGATATGATACTTTGGAAAGGAGGTTCTTCTTTTGTTTTCACAGAGGATGAGACCCTGTGGATTGCTTCTATCCCCATATGGTATGATAGACCACGCCCTCCTAAAAGGTTTCTATAAACACCCTCAAAAAATTACTTCACTCAACTGCCGACTGAGATGAACCTGGCAGACAGGTTTTACCATAAAAGACCTGATTAACAGCGCCCCTATACGGCAAAAAGAAGTTTGGAGAGAAATAACTACGTCCATATTCCCAAATATTGTTTATAAATGTTCTTTTACATTTAAAGGGGGATATGATATAGATATGAATAATTTCATTGGTATGGATTTTAAGGTCAATTTTGTTATATGTATATATATATATTTCTGATCTTGATTGATATATTATGATTGTATAGTTCATTTAAAAATGCAATGTATAATTAAAAATATAGGTTGTTAATGGATAATCATCGATAATAGTCAAGCTTGTAGTAATGTTAGTTTGACTTTGTAGATGTGCATAGATATATTTCAGAAAGACATTCTTCATATCTTTCAAAGACTACAGAACATAGCATTTAATGTTTTAATAACTTAGGATAATGAGACACGTCTGCTCCTGGCAGCACCAATCTACTTCAAGAGGAAGATGGGCATCGAAGAGACTCCTTATGGAGTTGGTTAGCCATTTGGGCAAGAAACTGCTCTTGCCTGGACTGTTGTATAAACTGGACACAGAGAACCCGCAGAGAGAGGACTGCTGAACTTGCCTAAAGGTGAGATGATCTTTCAAGGTTCTTGATTCATGAAAGAGTCTGCGAGACATTCTACAGGACATAGCAGATAGTGACTGAACTGCCTTTGAAATTTCCTGCTTCATGGAAATGTCTCTGGATATTATGGGCCTGAAGGCCAAAGATAGGTGCCCCAACGATACAGAGGAACGTTGGGTGACTGTCCAGGCAGCAAGATGTCTCTGTCATTTCTAGAGTTTTGGAAGTTGCTTACTTCTTGTTTACTTAGATAATATTATATCCTTCTGGAGTCTTTGATGGAGTTGAAGAATGGATAGTCATAGTTATAGTTTTCCATTATTATGATAAAGATATAGTTATAAATATTGTGACTGTAATTCTTGCTTGATAACTGTTTTGTTATATGTAATTTTACTATGTTAAAATGAAAGCCTTTCTTTTTTGTTTAAACAGAAAAAGGGGAAATGATGGAGGAGGGTTATCTGTCTATTGTGTTATTTTCATTGGTCAATAAAGAGACTGCCTTGGCCCCTTGATAGGACAGAAAATTAGGTAGGCGGAGTAAACAGAACAGAATGCTGGGAAGAGGGCTATGAGGCAGACACCATGGAGCCAGCCACCAGGTCAGACATGCTGAATCTTTTCCGGTAAGCCACCACAAGGGTGCTACACAGATTATTAGAAATGGGTTAATCAAGATGTGAGAGTTAGCCAGTAACTAACTCTCTAGAGATAATGGGCCAGGCAGTGTTTAAATGAATACAAGTTGTGTGTTGTTATTTCTGGGGCTAATCTAGCTGTGTGGGAGCCGGGTGGGATGAAAAGCAGGTCTGCCAGCAGCTCTTCACTACACTCTGTTACCCATCTTGATCAACTCCTACATTACTCCTTGACAAGAAACTCAAAACGCTACTACAATGGTGGCTTTTTAGCAGATAATAAAACAGTAGTTAAGCAGAGAAACAGGAAAATCAGACCTGTTATCAGATTTTTAAATCAATGCAAACAAACCCAGAGATAACAGACTCTGGAATTAGTGGACAGGGATTTAACAGAAAGGTTTAACTCTGTATTAGGACAGAGCTGGAGTGTAGCTCAGTTGGCAGAATGATTGCCCAGTGTGTATAAAGCCAATCACTGCAGCTCCCAGGTGGTGTCTGGAATCCCAGCACTCTAGGAATAGGGATGACCAGAAATTAACGCCATCCTTGGAGATAAGGCAAGTTCAAGCCCAGTCTAGGTGACCTGAAATGCTATCTCAAAAACAAAAAGTAGAGCCAGGTGGTGGTGGTGATGGTGATGGTGGTGCCCGTCTTTAATCCCAGCACTCGGGAGGCAGGGCAAACTGATCTCTGTGAGTTCAAGGCCAGTCTGGTCTACAGAGTAAGTGCCAGGAAAAAAAGAGATGATGAGTAAACAGATGAGGAATATTCACAGAGAAACAGAAACACTGAAATAACCAGACGGAAAATAAGATCTGAAAATGAATGATGTGAAACGAGGGGAAAAAAAACCCAAAAACTCAAACTACTTCTGTTGATCCTGCTCCCCATCCAAAACCCTCAGAAACACACACAGACACAAGTGATTGTTTATAAACCGGGACGGAGAAAAAAATTAAGTGACCATGAACATGGGTTAACATTAACGATTCAACTAAAGCAAAATGAGGGAGGAAATATCAAATAACAAAACAAAACACCAATAATTGGGGTGTGCTCTGTGGGAGAATGTTTTGCCTGCTTCTAAGGAACTGGGCTCCATTTCTAGCAACAGGATAAAAAAACAAAAAAAAAAAAAAGCAAAAATGAAAAGATGGCTATCAAAAGAAAAGATAAAGTAGTCTTATAATATGTGATGGACATTCCACGAGGGGGCTGGAAGAGAGCTCAGGCAGTAAAGTGCTTGCCTCCCCAGAGCTCACAATAACAAACCCCATCTGGGCACACACAGACTCTCTCTCAAACAGTCTAGTCTGTGTTTCACGTACTGAGATTAGGATAGAAAAAATATTTGAAGAAATGACTAAAATTGTTGCTGAAAAATAGCCACAAACTGGAAAGTTCAACAAAATCCAACTAAGAGAAGCACATGTCTCCTCCCAGAAAGAGCAGGGGAACCCCAAACTCCCAAACCAAAAACTCCATACCCAGGCACAACATAGTTAAAAGGCTGAAAATAGAATATTTTAGAAGCAGCGAAAAGAGAACAAAAGAGATACTATGTAAGAGGAATAATAAGAATGATAGCCAACCATTCATCAAAAAAGAATGGAAGCTAAGAGATAACAGCCCTGTACCATTAACACACTAGTGAAATGTGTCAATCAAGAATTTTACATGTAGTAAAAATCTCCTTCAAAAATGAAGGTGAAAAGAGTTGAACTTTCATGAAGGAATTCACCACCCTCAGTCCTGTTTTAAAGAAGGAGGTAGGGGGAGGGGCAGAATCTAAGGGAAATAATTTCATACACACAAAGAACAAAGAGAAACAGACAGTGAATATATATGTTCACAAGTATAGATGATGTAGGTTTTTTTTCTCAGTTTATTTTTTTTAATATTTTTATGGTTTATTTAGCTTTGTTTTATGTGCATTGGTGTAAAGGTGTCAGATCCCCTGAAACTGGATCTTCAGATAGTTGTGAGCTGCCATGTGGGTGCTGGGAATTGAACCCAGGTCCTTTGGAAGAGTAGTCAATACTCTTAACCACTGAGTCATCTCTCCAGCCCTTTTCTCAGTTTATATAGAAGACGAACAACTGTACTGTTAAAACAAACCAGGGGCCAGAGTTAACAGTGAAGAACACCTATTGTGGTTTTTGCAGAAGGTCACAATTCAGTTCCTTGTGTTCACATCAACGACTATGACTCACAAACCACCTGTAACTCCAGCTCTAGGGTAGCCAATGCCCTCTCCTAAATATATCTTCAGAAATAAATAAGTAAACTAATTAATCAATTAATTTACAACAAGATGGAATGGAGGCTCGGTAGTTAGTACTGCCAGCTCTTCAGGAGGGCCTTGGCTCCATTGTCAGCACCCATATAGCATCTGGCACCTGTCTTCAACTCCAGCCCCAGGGAATTTACTACCCGCCTCTGTGGGAGCCCAGAGAAGTGGGTCTGCTCCACCTTGACTGGAGGTCGGAGAGTTCAGGCCTGTTCTTGCTCCTTCCTAAACCAACAGAATACTTAACTCAGGGTATGCTTCAGATATGGAAGAGGTAATTGTTCTTTGTATCATGGTGAAGCAGTCTTTGGCCTTCTTCCCTCCCCTTTTTGAATTGGGGTATATAAGCATATGGAAAATAAATGCAGGCAAATTCAGTATTCACTGAATTGCCCTCCCGATTCTATCCTGTCTCTGTATTTCTTTAGTATCTCTGCTCTTTCTGTCTGTCATTTCCTTTCTCCTTCCTTCCTCCCTTCCTCCCTTCTTTTTTGGTTTTTCAAGACAGGGTGTCTCTCTCTAGCTTTGGAGCCTGCCCTGGAACTCACTCTGTAGACCAGGCTGGCCTTAGACTCACAGAGATTCGCCTGCCTCTGTCTCCTGCATGCTGGGACTAAAGGCGTGCACTATTGACATTTCTAATCGGTATGCCTCTACCCTGTAACATGGGAAATGTGTGAACCCCTTCAAGGCTAGACCTTAATACCCCTCTAGCCTCTGAAGCATAGGCAAGTCCATGGTGCACAGACATACAGGCAATAAAAAAAAACATACACATAAACAAATAAAACCCATTAACATAGGCTCTATAGTTTATACAATGAAATACATGATGACAGTAACACAGAGAAAGGGAGAGAAATCACAGAATGACACTGTGGAGACAGAGGTCAAAGAGATCACAAGGAAGATTAGAAACCAAATGTCGATTAGACAGGGATCTACTGCTCTAATATCAGAGAGGAAATTTTTTATTCTGTCAATACCAGAGAATCTGAAATCAATAATTGTTTGGCTTAAGAAGCCAGAAAAAGTCAGAAAAACCAAACTCTGGAGCTGAAGATGGAAGTCAGGGACAGAAGGTTTACCTAGCACGAGGGCTGTGTTTAACCCTCAGCTCTGTAAAAAAGAAAAAAGAAAAGCTAAACACAAAGGAAAGGGTAGAGTCATGGGAGGCAAAAATGAGAAAACATTTGACAAACTCCTGCAACACAGATCAGGGGAAGAAAAATCAAACTAGAGACCCATGGGCACTAAAAGAGACAGGGAGACTATGCAAAGGGTTAAAAGGGGGAAAGTCTGGCCAGGCTTGGAGGCATAGGATGTAATCCCATGCTGGAGGAGGATCAGGAGCTGAAGGCCAGCACCTGAGCTGTGTAAGACCTTGCCTCAAAACATAAGCACCACTAAAACAAAACATAACAAACCATCCCCCAAAACTCAACCATTTTAACTAAATGACTGAAACATAGTCAAAGAAACAGTTTACTGGGGCTGGAGACATGGCTCACTGGCTAAGAATACTGGCTGCTCTTGCAGAGGATCCAGGTTCTCTTCCCAGCATCCACACGGCCACCCTAACTCCAGTTCAAAAGGATGTGAAATTCTCTTTCAACTTCCTCCCGGGCTCCTGTGAGCGTGTAGTGCACATAAACTCATTCAGAAACACACATACACACACCTTTAAAAACTAAAATAAATCTTTAAAAAATTAGAATGCATTCTAACTTGAAATTGGACCCTTCTCTTATTTTAATAGTATTTCACTATAGGGATATATCAGAATTTAGGCATTTCTCTGTGATAAATACTTAAATTTATGTCTTATTAAAGACATACGTTGTATACGAACACGCTTTTTTTTCCTAGCTAATGTCACCCAGGGTAAAAGGATTACAAATCTATAATCTGAACTATGACCCTTTAAATTAAGAAAAAAAATTAAGAATCACTCATCAAATAGTAAGGTTCAGATAAGGATATCTCTTTGACCCATGAAGATTCCCCAGGCACTGGGACACAGTAGAAGGTCTGTCTTTCTGCTGTGGTAGATCGTGGAGAGTTTAAGTCAAGCTCCTGTTGAGGCTGTGATATACAGAAAGCATTTTTAAAGTTTTGTTAAGAAAAATGCATTTTCATATTATAAAATCAAAATAAATGTTGTTATCTCAAGTTAATGTAATTAACAAGCAATTAATTTCAAACTCTGGCTGGCATGGAATTTGTGGTCCTCTGCCTCAGACTCCCAAGTACCAGGAAGAGTGTAAAGGCAGATGCTGCTACCACACAACACACTATGGTTCCAAAACTACTTCATTTTCTTTCTTTCTTTCATTCCTTGAGGGGGGGGGGGGCTGTCACTCTGTAGCTTGTGTTTGTTGTAGTCTGCTGGCCTGCTCTGTCACCTGGGTACCCTATCCCTTTAAGAGACAAGCTCGGCCCACTCCCCAGCCTTCCACCCCCCAAGGCCATGAGATCTCCTACCTCCTCTCTTCAACACTCCTCCATTCCTCTCTCCCTCACTCCCCCCTTCTTCTGGAGAGGCAGCTTCTGACTCTCTTTTCTCTCCCCCCTTTCCCTCTCCCTTTCTCCCTACATAATCCATTAAATAAACTCTATACCCAAGCTCTCTGTGCATGGCCCATCTATTTGTCACGCCCCCCGCCCCTCGTGGACCAGTCTGGGGTCCCACCTCTTTATAAATGATAACAGTGTTGGGCTCTAATATTTGGCAATTCTCCTGCATCGGCCTCCCACGGTCAGGGATTATGGAAGTAAGTGACTACACCCAGCTTTCCAACGTCCACTTTTACAGCATTCATTCAACTATTTACTGTGTATGTGGGCAGGGGGACGCGTGTGTGCCACGGGAAGTGTGAGGACAACCTGCAGAGCTGGTTCTCTCCTTCCACCCCGTGGGTTTCAGAGCCTGAACTCAGGCCATCAGGCTTGGCAGCAATCGCTCTCACCCACTGAGTCACCTCACCAGCCCTCAAGCTACCAATTTTAAAAACAAAACCAAGGGAAATCTTTTCAAACACGATAGACAAAACAATGCCTTCCTCAAAGCCATGACACACGGTACCCCAGTTATGAAATTAAATCCTTCTAAAGAAAACACATGAGTTCGGTGGTAAGAGTCCGTGCTTAATGTGTGTGATGCCCGGGTTTGATGCTCAGTGTATTGACCTCCAGATGACAAAGTGCTCAATAATTTCTCTCTATAGAAACGATCCAGTTCAGCCTCTGCCAGCAAAACTTAGTAAATATTCATTATAGTTACCTCTGAAATGGATTTAAAAATTCAGACCTTACTCCCCAGAGAAGGCACTCTATTAAAATAATAACTTAGAAAGCTGTGAGTTTTCCTTAATAAATCTGCCTTTGTTCTTCTAAAAAAGAAACAGTGTTAAGATGGAAAAACAGTCCCTCGAGACAGCAAGTTTGAAACTGAGATAAAACACAAAATGGGTTTTAAAAAATGCTCATAAATTGGGTCATGGTAGCGCACACCTTTAATTCCAGCACTCGGGAGGCAGAGGCAGGCAGATCTCTGTGAGTTTGAGGCCAGCCTGGTCTACAAGAGCTAGTTCCAGGACAGGCTCCAAAGACACGGAGAAACCCTGTCTCGAAAAACCAAAAACAAAACAAAAAAATTCTGATTTTTAAGAACTCATTCACACACAAAACAGGTACATTAAAGACCAACCAAAGAAAGAAAAATGAATTCTTTTTAGGTGAAAAAAAATCATGCTAAAAAAAGCTCAAATATAAAAGATACATACCCCACATTCTGCTATATCCCTGTATTTTCCAAAATGAAGAACCTATGACCAAAACAAATAAAATTTATTACAAATTATAATATTACAAATTATAAACAGAAAATCTCAAGAAGAAAGCAACACATACCCGTGCTTTTGTGTTCTGGTTAACCGTCTCATAAACGCCCATGTAAAACTCAGGGTCAAACATATCCTGAATCATGCAACGAAACTTGACAAAGCTGTTAGGTTTCAAATAATGAAGGGGAACTTCATTCAATGATGGTACCTTCAGAGAAAACAAACAAGCAAGTCAGCAAAGTTGTCATCTGTAACTGTTAAGCACCCACACATTCAAAATCTAGCCTTGTTCCTGTGGTAACACTTGACTATAATGGGATGCTTTTCCTTCCAAAAGCATGCATAGCATGTGCACCCTCCTGGCTTGCCTTCTTTATGTTCTGTCTTTTCTTTCCCTTCTTTTGAGACAGACTTCTTTTGGTAGCTCAAAATGGTCTGGAACTCACTAATAGCAGAGGCTAGCCCCAAACTTGTCATCCTTCTGTGTCTCCCAAGGCCCCAGATTACAGATATCACCTACAAAGGACTCCTGATTCCTTTCAATCAACACAAAGGCATGCACCTTATGAGTCCTCTGAACATTAACACATGCCAATTCTTCTAGGAGGGAACAGAACATAGGTGACAGCTACTAGAACCAGTTCACCAGGAAGGAGCAGGCATTTACTGCCACCTAGAGGCACAATACAAGCATCAGAGCAAAGCCTTCCAATGAGGATGTACTGGGGACAGGAGCAGCACTCACTAAACCACTTCTCACATTGGGGGTAGGGGGGATGTGTTCCTACTCTGGTGAGAAAAACTATAGCCAGCCAGCTCTCTCCCTGTAAACAGTAAGTAGTAAGCTCACCCATTTAGGAGCATTATTTTCCTTCAGCTTTTCCTTGAAGTATTCTATAACTTTCTTCTCCCAGTCGGGGTTAACTCCATTTTGGGCTGAAAGAGAAATATGGTCATCAAAGCACAACAAAGACCAAGAGATTATGTTCAAATCAGTACCATGTAAGCGTAATAGTTAATACAAGTGCAACTGGGACATCCATAGGCATTCAAGGAGCTTCCCTGCCGGATGCTGGGTACCACAAACCCAGGCTGCTGGCCCCATGGCTCTCCGGCATTAACAGCTGAGAGCCAACACCTGTGGAATGTGTGCTTCACCTGGACTAGCGCAAGCTACAGCAGATAAAACATTCAGTTCCAACTATGTTTATTTATAGTAATACACACTGAACTGGACAGCAGGGAGTCTTTAAAATCACACTCACTTACTTAGTGTGTGTATGTGCACGCACACATGCAAGGAGACCAGAGAATAACTTGCCAGAGTTGGTTTCTGAGGATCTAACTAAGGAAATTTGACAATAATTTGAAGCTTTTAACCTACATAAACAGTATAAAGAACACCTATATCTTTGCTCCGTTTGATCATCACAAGTCTTTTCTAACCCATTTAAGTTGCATGCATTATGTACACTTGCCTTCTAAATATTTCAGTGTGTTTCTTCAGATTATCATAAGTTTAAACAGCTGTAATAATACTTAAAATACTTTTTAAAAAGATTTATTTTTTAATTATGTGTATCTGTGTGTAGGTATGTACTTGAGCACAGGTGCCTGAAGAGGCCGTAAGAGGGCATCATATTTCCTTGACAGAGAATTACAATCAGCTGTGAGTTACCTAGGTAAGAGCTAGAAACTAAATCTGGATCCTCTTCAGGAGCAGTAGGTGCTCTTACCACAGAGATGTCTCTGTAGGCCCTGATACAACCAACCATGTATGTGGCAATGCCAGCTAAGAATACTTCCCAGGGCTGGAGAGATGGCTCAGTGGTTAAGAGCCTGCTCTTCCAAAGGTCCTGAGTTCAATTTCCGGCAACCACATGGTGGCTCACAACCATTTGTAATGAGGTCTGGTGCCCTCTTCTAGCAGGCAGACATACACACAGACAGAATATATTATATACATAAAAAATAAATAAATATTTTTAAAAAAGAATACTTTCCATAGCCAGGTGGTGGTAGCGCATGCCTTTAATCCCAGCACTTGGGAGGCAGAGGCAGGCAGATCTCTGTGAGTTCGAGGCCAGCCTGGTCTACAAGAGCTAGTTCTAGGACAGGTTCTAAAGTTACACAGAGAAACCCTGTCTCGAAAACCAAATTAAAAAAAAAAAATACTTTCCTTGTGCTGGGTGGTGGGAGTGGCAGTCTTTAATCCCAGCACTTGGGAGGTAAACTCTGTGAGTTCAAGGTCTGCCTCTGCCTCCCAAGAGGCACCACTCAACCAGGTCATTATTTTTGAGGAGGCAAATGCACCGAAAGCATGACTAAAACAAAATGCAATTACCATGCTAAAACCTAAAGTTCTATGTCACCGAAACACCAGGAAACTAAGCTTTTTGCCTGATCTTCCAAGAAGCCAGGAGAAAAGCACAGGAAATTCTCCAACCAACCAGTTTGAACTGGCCTTGCATTCAGTTTCTCTCATCATATTCTTTTTTTCTCTTTAAAGATTTATTTATTATGAGCAGCCAGTGCTCTTAGCCACTGAGCCATCTCTCCAGTCCCCTCATCGTATTCTTAGGCCTCCAAACACTAATCAGTCGTTTCTCAACTGTCCAGTCCTGCTGCCCACCTGCCAAGGAAAGTACCTTGGAAACGAACAATCTATTTCCCCTTTGCCTCTGTTTTCTTTAGGCTTCCCATAATATTCAACAAATTCTTCTCAGCCTATCAAAATCTTAGCTATCTCATGGAATAAAGTGTTGCCCAATTCTAGAATTATAAACATAACAACAAAACAAAGATCAAGATCAATAAACTAAAGTTGTACTTTTGTCTTTTGACACCAGTGACCATACCATACTAAGTTATGTTGGGTTGCCTGACTCTAGAATCAAAACTAAGGCCAAATAAGGCCTTTAAATTGGGCTATGGATGTAGGTCAGTGGCAGGGCGCTTGTCTGATACACAAGGTCTCGGGTCTAACTCCCAATACTACGAGTGGGGGAAATCTTATAAAGGTGTAAATGGCACGGCTGTGACCTCAGCATCTGGGAGGGTTCCTCAGTTACATGGTGAGTATAAGGAAGACCTGCCTGAGCTACACGAGCCAATATCAAAGGAAATAAAAACAAAACAGGAAAAAGAAAAACCTTGAAGTTGTAATTCTGTCCTTCAACATCCATTGTACTGCCACATAAGTGATGGCCTAGCCTTCTAGCAGTGATAAGAGGCAGAACGTCTGTTGCTGTCTAGCAGAGAGGCTCATCACCCAGGTGGCAGCCAGTTCTCCACTCCACATACAGTATTATCTTCAGCTCTTACAGTGAGTAAGTCATCTGCAGGAGCGGCTTACAGGTGGTGAAAAGACCAAACAGTTATCGACAGGATACAGCTAACTCCCCTAGTGCACATGTCTGGCAAGCCTTTTTATTTACCACATGGTTGCTCTAAATAGATGCCAAATAAGAAAAATTTGTTTCTAATTGTGATGGAGCTGAGTCTGTCAGAAACAAAAACCTTGCTTTCGCAGTTTCCAAACATTTTTCCCTTAAGTGGGCCACACTTGATAACCACAGTTCAATCCCCGGGACCTACATGATAGAAGGAGAGAAGTGATCCCCAAGTTGTCTTCTGACCCCCACATGTGCACCACCCATTTACACACACACACAATTCAAATTAAAAATGAAGAACAAAACCAACCTGAGTGTCCTACTCCAGGTTTTGCTCTTAGATCTATGACCAACTGAGTTAATTTCTATGTGAAGTATGAGGTTTAGGTTGAGATTTCTATTTTTGCGTATAGTTTCAGTTTTGCTTCAAAGAATATCCTTACACCTGGTGGGTACATGCCTTTAATCCCAGCACTCAGGAGAAGGAGGTAGGCTGCTGGGATAATCTTTTTGTACATGGTGTGCAGATGTGTCTCTGCCTTCCTCACCTGCTTAAGGTACCTTCTGAGTGGTTTAATAACGAGTCAGAGCAGAAAGGTCATAGCTAGGCAGGAGAGGATAAACAGAACTTCCGGGGACAGAAGTTGGATGTACAGTGCTGAGCCATGTGGAAGAACGTAGATTAATATAAATGGCCTAATTTAAGTTTTAAGAGCTAGCTGCGAACAAGCACATTTTAAGACCAAGCTTTCATAATTAATAAAAAGTCTCTATGTCATTATTTGGGAGTTGGCGGCCCAAAGAAAGCTTGACCCCAGTAGGCGGATGTCTATGAATTCAAGGCCAGCCTGGTCTAAAAAGCAAATTTCAGGACAACCAAAGCTATACAGAGAAACCCTGTCTCAAAAAAAAAAAA